TCAGTGGTGAAAAGTCACTACATCTGTAGAATTGCCTAACATGCTTACGCAGTCGGTTTCGAATCTTTACGGGGATGAAGTCGGGCTGTTTAGGCCTCGTTTTCACAAGTCTTACTGGAGCGATGAAGTCATGTGCAAATCCTGGGTTTTCATAGAGTAATTTGTTTGTCTCTATATCCGAAGTGCATGTAAGGTATGGCTCCAAGTCAAGGGTGCGTAAGTATGGTTTCAGGTCTTCCTACTAAGCATGTCTGTAACGCCTGAGTAATACTTTGTTGGCGCTTATTGCCGAACTCATGCTAGTGCAAATATTGAATGTACCAAATACTACTCTGTGGTCGCTACCAGGAAAGTCTTTACCTACTCGAAGAGTAGTGGGGATGATACCATTAGTGAAAACTAAATCTAAAATCTTAGATAGCCTGATGGGATGCTGTACATGTTGTTGCCAGTCTTTTGTTTCTATTGTGTTCAAAATTTCGTTGTACCGTTTTGGTGAGGAAAGTGGTTACCAGACTACTTCAGGCATATTAAAGTCCCCACGTATAATTTTAGCCGTGTGAGGCAGTGAAGTGACGTAAGTGAACGTACTAGCAAGCTTCATATCACCTTCAACAGTTGAGCATGGGGGATGATAGATGCAGCCTATAAGATAGAAAATGGAGTGAGACAGCCCTAGAATAGCCCAGACTGAGTCGTTATCTGTGATTAGCTCTGGATAGAAGCACTGTGTGGCCTTAATATCAGAACTGATATAGATAGCACATCCTCCTCCTGTGCCATGATTTCTGTCACCTCTGAATACGTAATAGTTATCAACAGAAATATCTTTATCGCAAATCTGAGGAGTGCACCATGTTTCAGTAACCATTATGAGAGACGGATAATGTCGTGAAGTCAAATGCCTTGTTAAGTAATGAGCGAGCACTGATGAGACAGAATGAGAGAGTTAGAGGTGACGGTGAAATCGCATATGTCTTTAAAAAAGTTTTCCTCAAGGATTATAGCGTCTAGAGCAGATTGTTTGATGGGTGCTAACTCAGATGGTGGCAAATTACTGACAGTGCTGGAAAAGTGCACTACACCATTATCAGCACAGAGAGATGTGCTGTCGTTGGTTACCTTGGCGGGTGTGCGGTGTACATAATACCGTGACTGAAAGGCATCGCCCTCCCCTCCGGTGATAAGTGGCTTGACAGTATGTGTGTTATTTGCGTCAATATTGAGGCCAAAATTTCGTGTTGGCTGAGGAAATTTAGATTGGATGAAGGGGGGTAGGTATTTCTTGTGGATAGTATGCTGGAGTATAGTTACATGCATCGCAGTTATGATTAGTATTTTGTGTGTTTAACTTATTTTCGTAAATATTAGTCCATCGATAATCTTGGGTAGTTTGTATACGGTGGTTGTCGGGGATATGGTGAGTCAGAAGGCCACTTTTAGGAAACAAGCCTAACCCACTTGTTCTTTGTTGTGGGGGTCCCTGGATCAAACTTTTGTCCATATTGGCCATAGATTGGAGAGTTGTGTGGGGATAGGTGTATGCCTGCCTGTATGGTTTCAACTTACTTTTAGGGTGCCCAGACATATAGCGTCTGTTTTGTCTATCGGATGAAGATTTGCTCGATGTTGGATGAATTGGCGGGTTACCTCTCTTTTCATTGACGTTATATTTATGGTGGTATGAATACTTATTCAGCTGCCCTGGGTTAATTGTAGGATTGGAGTCACTTAAGTTAGTGTTATTTGGTTTGCTGCTGAGAAACTTATCAGTGACGGGTTTGAATATAGGTATTCTGGATGGCAGGGTTATTTTACTCCGTTTTGTGTGCACACTACTCTGAGTGCTACTCGGGGAGGTTATGTCGAATGCTATATTCTCAAGCTTAGCCTTTTGCGTAGCGATATTAGCAGCTGATGGTGATGTGTCTAGCGAGCATAACTCTAAAGATGCATCTAAGTCTATGGCCATATTTGCTTCACTGTTGAGTTTACTAGGTAAAGCTTTATTATTTAAGGGTATTTCTTTTTCACGCGTGTCTGTAGCATTAGGTTTACTTAAATGTAAGGCGAGAGAGTCTTTTGTAGGACATTCTGCAGTTACGTATGTGTTTGCGACACTTGATACACTCGCGCGACTACGTCTTTGATATGGTGTTAGGTCATGAGCAAGTTTAACGTTGCCATAAGGTGTAGATGAACTAATTAGCTTGTTAGACGACTGGAATTTCCTAGCATCATTAGGACTACCGAATTTAAACAGCACAGGACAAGTGTACTTTCCTGATTTTTTCCTGAGTCTGATTAGGTGGCAATTCGCTGATGGCATACCGCACGCTTGGAGACGTGTCACTTAAATTTTGTCCAGAGGCGTCCGATCAGGCAGATTGTAAGCGAGAACATTGTACGAAGACATGATTCGTTTGGTCACTTCATTGGCTATAAAGTCTAACGTACGCTCAGCCTTCAGCAGGCTTTCCGGATTACTATCACGAGTTGGGTTACATAGAAGCAGTAATGGCTTAATGGTGTTTATATTCTCATTTAATTCCTTCACAGAGTTTCCTAGAGAAATAAGGGCCAACTTATTTTGTTTAGCAGTTGCGTATACCTCTGATAACAAATCAGACACAATGACTTCGGGGACGTTGTTGAGGCTAGGTGGAACGTGTAGGGATGTACGTATCTTCTTAGTTGAGTAACCTAAACTATTCTTACGTATAGAAAGTACTCGTTTATTACGCTGAGTCATTGTTGAACACGGATCAGTATGGTTTGAAGTAGAAGCTGAGCTAAATCGAAAACAGGTATAAGGACAAATAATATATCGAGTGGATATATAGACTAAGAACTACTATAGGCACGGTATGGATTTTATTGCTTATAAATAAACAATAAATCGACAAAAGTATTAAACCGTAAAATACAGATTATATAGAAACCAATTGTCCTAAAAATTGATCCTGATTTATAAACCAAAAAAGAACTCTATGGTTTTCTTTAGTGTGACGTTGTTCTTAGATTATAAAAAGGAGGATGAGCACTGCGAATGAGTGGATCCAAACTTGATAACTGGCGGTGACATAACTGCGTATTTGAAAGCTAAGGTAGCAGCCAATATAAGTTAAAGTTGAGGAGTGGTATAATATCCACTACAATATTCCAGAAATCAGTAAAAATATATCCACGTTTTGGAGAGAGATTGTGACGTCCGATCAGAATCGCACGCGTATCTGTAACATGTACAGCATACTGTATGATTCGGACGGGCTCAAAGCAATGCAATGCTGCAACTACAGTTATTGCAAAATATCTCAGAATTTAGCATCAAGAAAGGAGGGAGAGTGGCGCATGCTGTTCAGCAGATATAGTAGCGGTCACAAATGTGAATCGCTCCAATCTGTAGGACAACGACATGCATTTTTTGACAGCTCGAGAATTAAACATTAGTCTGGACTCTCAACAAAAAAATAATAAGGGTTGTACAGATCTAAATTATAAATAAAAAAATTATTTTGCTCCTACCATCTACAAGCCTGTTCAGCTTCTTGTCAAGATGCTACTCAATGGGCGCTACAGAAATTCGTGAGACATGTTACAGGTTAGCTTGTCCGACAGGTTCTAATTTTCCAGATCTTTGAATTCACTCCCCACTTAAATACCACTTACCTACCTTACAATAATCTTTTTACCTACGCACCATTATACTATACTTTATCTTAACTACCCACGCCTTTATTAAGACTAAAACTTACTATTTGTTCACATTTGTTGCTTGCCCAAAGTCTGGTTGCTGTGATTAAAAACACAACAATAGCAATGTTTGAAAAAAGCTGTATTTTCATCGAAAACATCACAGTTTCCATGCTTAGGTCCATATGATTAGCATTAAACATTGCGAATGTATACTACCATTCCAAGGAATCTCCAGTTCCTTCTTTTATGTATCTTGTCGATGCCTTTTCAATGAAGTATTATCCATAATTGTATTTGATAGCACTTTGCAGCTTCCCATGACGTTCTTCTCTTCCTAAAATAGCGTTCAATCACGTGGTGGCATAACACTCACCCAGATATACGGTGTTCACTGGCTGACCATAACTATCAGCAGAAAACGCAATGAAGTTTGGGTTGTCGCTCAACTTTGATGGTGATCTTAGTAAACGGTTTACAGTTTAACATTTATAAGAACCTGTTCTGAGTGCTTGTACATTAATTGAACAATTTAAACTTTTGAAAAAAGTATTAATTTATGATACTTCAGGGTTGTAATTTATAAAACCACTGATCGTGCCTGTAAAAATGGCATTCATTTCTTGTAAACTTACCCATAACAGTGAGTGCTGGGTGTGCAAGGGTTGGCAAGTACTTAATTCGGACGTACCAGCTCTTTTTCTTCCTACTGAGAAATAATATCAAGGGGTCATCTGTTCCCAAAGAAGGACACCTGCTTACCAGAAACTGTAGAGAGGACGGCCAGACATACATGCTGTGACCAATTCGTCATACGAAGGACAGCCAGAAAGACTACAGGAAAGACTCAAATGGGGGAAAATTAAAACAAAATAGAAGGGAGAACTGAATTGGCAATCGCAAACCATATCAATAACTTCGAGGGAGAAGCCAAAATCTGGAATTTCAGTCGAATAACAAAGGAGAAGAATACAGATGTATATATCCTTAGAAGGAAAGTTTAACTTGGGTTAGGAGCCGTCAATTATTGGCTCAAATCTGAACCTAATAAAAGGACACTAAAAATGGTCTTCAGTAGATAAAGCGGCGTTGCATATATGGAATAATATACAGGAAATGGCAGGTTTGGGAATTATGGTGAGCATAGTACCCGTACGACTTTTGCAGCTCGATGATTGGAAGTTTTGTTTGTAACCACCAAATTGACAATAGCTGTCCGTTGGGCAGAAGAGCTATGATTAAAAACGTTATTTGTTTGAGGATTATTGGCAGTTTGCGAAGTTACTCCCCTAGTTGATTTCAAATTAATGAGATATTTTCGTAAGTTATGAAAATTTAGTTTAAGTTCTTACGTTCCAGTGACCTAAACGGAGTGTTTTCTATGGCTTTATAATATTTTCTTCTTAATAAAATGTACTATGTACATTTTGCGTTATCTGCAGTTTGTGGCACTGCAATTCATTAGGCAAAGCTAGCGATCGAGAAATTAACTGTCTACTCGTGATACTTATCTTCGGATTTGCGTGTGTTCTGGTTGTCTATTTGCCAATATGACTTAAATTTTACTCAAATAAAATGCAGCTAACTAATTAATAACCCACATTTTCAGGAAATCAAACAAACAAGCAATGATTGTATAAGAACTCCTTTAGTGAATTTGCTTTCGTTAATGGCGTTGTTGGATAGCAGTTCAAAGATATTTTTGTATGGCACATAAATCGATTCAGCGTTCTCAAGGATTTTTTAGTTCTGAAGCCCAGTGTGTGGCAAAAATACAAAGAATCATGCATCATTTGAATTTCATTTTCTTCAGTTATAGCCTCAAGCTTTCACTCATTTTATTGGTATAATCACTGCTAGGGGTTTCGTTAAGAGCTATTTGTTGTTCGTTACTAAATGAGTAGTTATTTTTGAGTATAGAGCAACCGAATAAACAAAACTTCTGTTAAATTTAAAGTAACCTTTGCACGTTATACGTGATATAGTGTTGGTGAACGAATCAGAAGTTTTATGGGCCAAGAAGTTTGTCATACCTTCATGGTGAAAAGGCAGGAAGCAATGTGGAATGAAGCATTGCAAACCGTGCCTATTGGCGTATCATAATGTGCACAGTTCGATAAGTTCACAACACATATGCACGTTTTCTTTCTCCAGGGTTTGAAATACGTCAATTGTTTTCAATTTTTCACATTTCATTTCTCTAAAATGATTGCTGTGATATGTTAAGCCCCAAGGGTAGACGCCTCTGTATTAGTTTTAATTATGGCACACAAATTCCACTGAAAGAAACAGCTTTGTCGTTTCACAAATTTTTATGTTTACGGGCTGAATATTCTAGTTGATGTCGGAATTTATACTAGCAGTCCACAGCTCACTTTTAAGATGCAAGTTTATTTTACAAACATTTTTCCGGGATTTTCACACGATATAACGTTATATGGTAATTAATACAGGGAAACACAATGAGATAGTAATTTGTTTAGCGGTTGAAGCAGCTCTTATATATGTTGGTAAAGACACTGTTTCTCCAGGAAATATTAACTTTGATCTGTGATTTGTACACGAAAATGAGTAATTTATCACCAGTTTCTATAAAGCATGTTTAAGCGTCATAATTGCACTGGCAGCTATCAAATGGGCGCATTGAATTGCATTCTAATCCTTGCAATTCTCTGTATGACTAAAACTGGATACCCTCAGGTAGCTTTTGTCGTTTCACTAGCCTTTAGTAGTCCTAGGTTTGAGGAGTTACTCGTGGTCTCACCAAAACATTGTCAATCCACGAAGACACTAGCTATTGATTTAAGTCTCTTAAAGAATTGCAGATTGCTCGATTAGAGTTATTAAAATGATTAAAATCAATGGTTAGGATTCATTGTGACACAGCTGAAAACTGCTTATACTGGTGCAAATACATTTAGTCGTTATCATCCGTAACATACGTATTAATCTTGACTAAATTACCCATGTTTGTTCATTATTCTTTGTGGTCTACACCTTTACCATTTCATCTGTTAGGGAACTCGTATCAGTCATAGGAAGTGGGTAATGTCGAAATTCCTTTTGGAGTCTAACTGAGCCTGACTGGATTTTCAGCATGGAACACTGCAAAAGAGTGCAGCAGTTTAAGTTCATGGAGCACACATGTAGAAAAAAGAATGCAAACGTAACATAATGAGTGACAATATACGGAAAATAAAGTCATGCGAAATGATGGGAAAGCAATGGATCTAGAAGTTCGTGAAGAATGAATTCATCTGCGCTACTGGGAGTGATTATGCGCCACTTCACCAAGTGTTAGATCAGTGATTTTTAACGTCTTTAGGACCCCAGTCAGTCAGTCTACGTCTCCTTGCACGACTCAAATCAACTGTTGAGGCTTCCGCATTGTTGTCATTATCTGGTTTTGCCACCTCTGAGTCTCATCCAACGTAACCATACATGACTCAACATTGGTTGTTGATGGAGGTGTTGGTTTGTCACTCGTAACATGTGTCCCAGCTCTGTCGATCGATGCAGCTTCACAGCCTCATTGACCGACTTTCCCTCATCATCTGATTTCAGTGTCTCAGGGGTTGACTTATTACCAGGGAATAATCTCTTTGACTTAGAATATGCAGATGATATAGTCCTTCTAGATGAAGATGCTGACAAAATACAATCTTCCGAATACCTTGAAGATATTCTTACTGATATCCATAAATGCGTCAACATAGACACCGTATAAGTTATGGAATAAATCTTCAAATTCAAATACCTAGCGATATCCAGTTTTTATCTCTTTTGACCAGTGAGCTGGTTTTCTGACTCAAGTATGACTTAGATAGCTACTGCTAAAAAAGCATATATTAGAGTCTACGAATACGCACTTGGAGCAGCGAACGACTATTTGCAGGTGAACATTTCCCGGTAGATTTCCCTAGCCCGAACTAGTGCCACAAAAATACCTTCAATTATTGCGGATTAAGCGGTAGAGAAGACAGAGCGAGGAATATATGCTGTGTTAGTAGTAATGATAATAACTCAAAGTGGTCTAATGGAAACTAGACGTGCACTGGCATGATCCTAGTAGTGGGCGTCATTCTCCATGATGGAACCTGATTTGTCGTTTATCTGACTATCAAATAGTCCATACTCATACAGTTTAAATCTCGATTGATAGGCTATCGACTTAGACTGTATTTGCACTCAACGCTTCTCACTTTAGGAAGGTTGATGGTCAGTAACGAACAAAACCTAAATTCACATTTTCTGAACGTTTGTTGAAGCCATGGGATGTTTTTGATATTCCGAGTATTCCTCTATCTTGTCAACAATGCGTAGTTAGAAGACATCCAGCTGTATATTTGAGAGGAAGTTCGGCTCTGCTTCGTCTGATTTTTCTGAGTATCATTGGCGTAAGCAGCCGTAATGCATGGACATAGTTTAGTGTCAACTTTTACACTATAAATAACCTGTCCTTTTCCTGACACAACGTAGCCATTCTGTTAGATTTTTTATACTGGCCAATATTCACGGCAGTAACATCTGTAATCCTCCCTTAATTCAGAATGATGAATGAAGATGATGAGGTTCCCTTGATAGAATCGACTGATCAATAATCCCTAGCTTCCTTGTACAGAGCATTTCGTTGACAATTATTTGTTCCACCTTCAATCATCTAGAGTTGTGAGATGTACCTGAGGACATTTCCTAATCACACCAATATTTGCTCCTTCTTCCCACCTTCCCTTCAGACTGACCGTTTGTTTCGGCTGATTTGAACGCAAGAATATATGCTTTATGCCGTGTCGACTATAGTCCTCTTCATTCTTCTGAGAAGTGAGTTAATGACAATTACCTGCAGCTTTCGCTCCCGACAGACCATGATGGAGGGCTATACGAAGGATAGCCTCAAGAGTCCGAGATCTCGTTGCTAGAACAACCGATATGAGCTGTGGCGACGTTCGAAAAGTAACCACCACCAATAAATAAGACACCATCTATGAAACCCGGGTAACTCAACTTGAGTTTGAGACCAAAGGCTGTCTGTTGTGTCCATGGCGTAAGAGGCGACCGATAAGAAGGTTTTTCTGATTTCCGATACTTAGAAATGTTACAAAACTGAAGATTGCTGATCCATGTTTGCCCATGACCTCATGTGAAGTCATTTGAAGGACTTATCTCGAAGGTTTCTTGGTAGGTTCGCAGTACGTATTTATGACGGCTGAAGATCTAAGCATGGGTCCAGGGTCCTTTGTAAACAAAACCATAATATAGGGTAGACCCAAGTAATACATAGTACTTCTGCCTTTCCACCATATGCCACTTTGTGCCGTTTCTTGTCGAGATCCTATTGCGTACCTACACTGATTCGTGAGACGTTTCAAAATGCTTGACTTTTCGGTATCTCTAAATGCCACTTTTGGTTAAACTATCATTTGTATGCGGCGTAGTAGGTTTTGCTTAGGCTTACACATGTGCAGGTGATTCCTTGTATGAAAACGAGTAGATTAACGCTGTTAGTTACCTTATTAGCGGCTCCATTAGCTGTAATTGGTTCCAGATTTCTGGAGACAGGATTACAGCTTACAGCCAATTGTTGTGCAAAATCTTTGCGGGTAACAGAGGATGACGCCTTAGTATCAACCAGAGACAATACATCTACCCCATGTATTGACCCTTCAAGAATAAGCGATGGTTTCAAACACTGAGCGGAAGAAGACACATTAATAACTGGTTCACCTGATGATCTTCGGTTGTTGTGGCCAGATCACCACGCTTTTTGACGAAACTGTTGACCACAGTAACGCTTTCCAGGGGAAAAGTTTGATCTTAAGCGTGTTGTGAGCGGTGCTGCAAGCTGGTCCGGTGCTGGTGCGTTTCTACGGCATCGCTGGGACTCAGTGAAGGGTGGTTTTCTGTCTATGGATCCCAAAGCATAACGCAACGAACTGGCAGTTAGCGGAGAGACGTGGTCAACACTCTCGAATCGTCTAACACCTTGAGGGCCTCTGATATAGAGTTCACTGGGGTATGCACCAAGTAGCATTTGAGATCGTGTGATAAAAAGCCTTGCTCAAAGCGTGTGGAGATGGCTTCGTCACGATTGGCGTCGGACAGTGTGAAGAAGACACATAATGTTATCTGTCTGAGGTGGTCGAGGTAGTCCACCGCTTTCTCGCCAGGTTTTCGCAAGCGGTCCAAGAAGGTATGCAGATAGACGGACGGGTTGCACTCTGTTCTGACACATTTGTCCCAAATGCGCTGGTCACCGATGAAGGTGTCGAATAGACGGAAACCTCCAGCGATCATAAGGCGAAAGGCCTCGTCGGTCAGCG